TGAGCCCAAGTTCAAACAAATCTCATGCAACCACAGATCTATGGTGCGTAAGGGTAATCTCTCGTAAATGTACATGTTTCACCCTCAATGGTTACTCATTTTCCCGATACAACTATCATAAGTACAAGTCGTGTGATGGCTCAGTGATGAGGCTTCGTCCCTCGTCTCTAGAGGCCTACCATCATACACATGGGTCACACAATCCCTTGGCTCATAATTCTGGGCAACTCAACATCATCAAAGGATGACAACGGTCACACAATCCCTTGGCTCACAATTCTGGGCAACTCCAACCTCATCAAGGATGACCCTGCTAATCCTTAGGTAATAAAGGTTTTCCAACTCAACTAGCCTATCACGTCAAGTCAAGTCTGAGTATCAGCATACAGCATTTGCCTATCTCAATCCACAAAGGACCATACTCCCACTGATTTTATGTTCCATATCAACTATTTGAATACAAGCTCTTATAAGGCCTTTAATGGCCACAGAAATACATCTCTCACTTGGCCTTTGAAGGCCTTACATCTCTCTTCCTCACTTTCTCTCGGCCCCCATCTCTTTATCAGCTAGAAACAAACTAGTATAACATATGACTGATTAAAAAGACATTGAACCAGTATAGAACCAAAACTCGCATAAAAAAAACCATAAATCTCAAATAATCACAGGTATAAAACTATAAACTCTATAAATAATCACATATGCACAGCATTAAATAATCACATACATAAAACCGTATTCCTTACAACAGCATTAACCCTAAAGCAGCAGCAAACCCTAAACCAGCAGGAACGGTCAAAAATAAACCCTAAATAAGCACTAACTTTCACATATAAAGCAGCAAAATAGCATTAAAAAGGCGCACAACAACAGGGGAAAAAAATTACCTTGTTGGTTATAGTACGGTTTCTCCTCTTCAAAAGCACTATCTAAGGTTTTGATGTTGCTATTGAAGAGAAATCTGCAGCTCTGATGATGGTATTGAAGCGATTTTGAAAAACCCTAACTAGGGTTTTTTTTTTAGGGGTTAATACCCTAACTAGGGCTTTGAGAGAAAGAGAGAGGGGAATAGTGACAAGGATAGGGAAGCATAGTATTTGAGCATAAAAATATCCGAACTTGGAAAAGCTATGGTCATGTTGCTATCATCATCCAATCAATTGATGGACGGTGATGGAGAGAGTTAGAGTGAGAAACCATGAAATATACCCCACACTTCCACTACCGTCCATCAATTAATTTCATGGTTGAGATATTTATTACAACAGTTTTTTTTTTTTTTTTTTAAATAATAGCATCGGACACAACATACTCTTCATCCATGTCTTCACCATTTGGTGTTTGGAAACCTAATCCGTATTAGTTCATAACTAAATCTAGTTTAAGCATCAGGCTTAGCCAATGTGAGAATCGGTTCATAAAATATTTTAAAAAATCATAAAAATATAATGTGTGACAACTAGATTAAAAAATTAACAATTGTTACATCCATTCGTTAGATGACACCAATTATCTAATATATAACAGGCAGTTTTTGAATCACACCCACTACGACTATAAAATGTAACGGAGCTTCTAACATTCATAATGGTGTAATTATGCACAAGCTAAAAACCCAATATTGTATGAAACTTCTTATAGCACATATATGGATGGCTTGTTTGTAAATTGGAGCGAATGATTGTATACCCCCCACCCATAATAGATTATGCCCAGTTTGAAGGGATTAATCTTTTTGAACAAGGTTGGTTTTTTCCTTTACCCGTTTGTTTTTTCTTTTTTTCCTCATAAATGTTAACAATTATTGTCATTAGATAAAGGAGCAAAGCTCCAATGAGTACAATAAAAGGATAGAAAGGAAGAAATAGAGGAATACAATCATGTACTCCCTTCTTCGAGGTATGATCAACCATCACTTACAAACACATATTGACCCTATTCTCGAAGGGTCCTACTCCTACACCACCACCTGCCCATGAAACCCAACTACTCCACACAAAGCAACTTACAAAGACATTCTCTACAATGACCTCTCTTTCCCAACCCAAGCTTCTCATGAAGACATCCCTTTTGCAATCAACTCAAGGCCAGGGTTGAGGAAGCAGACATAGCATCAATGAACAAGGGCTTGACAGGTGGTGAGCTAGGGTTCAAACAACACGATGTGGGACTTGAACAGGAACTAAGGTTTGAGCAACAACAAAAACGATCTGAGATACAATGGTGAGCAGATCTAAGGAGATGAGGAAAGAAAACAAGCAGCAAGCAAATATTGAGGAGCAACAGCGAGCAAATATGAGCAACGAAGAGCAAGGGATTAGCAGATATGAGCAGCAACAAGGGGATTGATGAATGTTTCAGTTTAGAAGTATCAAGATGATTATTTTATACTCTCGGTTGAGTACATTATTGAAGGAATTGGATCACGTATATATCTCGCAAAGTTTGGAAGATGAAATAGTATGGGACATTGAAAGTGATGGGAAATTTTCCATCACATAAATATATAGGTTGTTTTTCCATGATCGTTACCACAGGTCGTCACCACAAGTTGCCCAAATTTGGAAATGGCCAATCACTGACAAAGTTTAGGCCTTTTTGTGGTTAGCAGCTCAAGATAAAATTCTAACTATAGATATGTTGATTAAAAGGAGTAAATTTATATCAAATGTTTGTCTTATGTGTAAGGAGGATGGAGAATCTGGGGCTAACTTGTTTATGCATTGCCGTTTTGTTTTAAGATGTGGTGCATGTTTTTTTCGTTTTTAGAGGTGAGGGTGGCTATTCCCCAATCTGTCTTGGGGATTGTAACCCAATTGGCGTTTCCAAATCTACTAAAGGTAAGCAATGTGATATGGAAGATAGTTAAAGGAGTAATTATGTGGGAAGTTTGGAAAGAGTATAATAGGAGAACTTTTAATGGGGATGTTTTACCCTATGATAGAGATCTTGATAATGTTAAGCATTGGTTGTCAATCACCAAAGAGGGTCCAGGGATCTCGAAGGTGGATGTTACACTAAGCTAGCATTTGATAACTTTCATTACAGTGTCCCTAGGAATTACCCCTACTGCGGACTTTCCTAGATTTTGGGATGCAAGTGACAATTGGTACGGTGAAAGCTGGAAACCCTGTTTGATAAATTGTGCTGCAAGTAATTTCACCTGTTTGGCAATGGGAAAACTGGAAACTGCCCTATTTGGCAATGGGAAAACTGGAAACTGCCTATAGTATTGTTTATTATATATTTCACTAATATGATAGGCAAAATGTAGTTTTTTTTAAAATATTTTGTAATTGAATAAAGTTTCTTCCATTCATCCAACATATTACCAAATTGAGAAAAATCCAGGTCTATTTTTTAAATAATAATACTAACTAAAAAAAAAGCCAGGTCTATTGACATACAATTCCTAAGAATGCATTGAAAATCAAATCCTAGTCCACAAGAATCACTTCATTTTGACCCCAAGGCAACAAAACAATGGCCAATAAACAATCCCCTGCTAAAAATAAGGAACTATATAAAATTAATCAGAGGAACATTAAAAACAATAGAACACTAATCAATGGAAGAAGACACACAAGAAACTGCCCTTTCCCCAAGAAAAAAAAAAAAACCCAGATCATCATATAGTGATTCAAATGAACACTGATCTACTACTGCTATTACTTCAAAAGAAGATAAATAATAACCAAACATCTATTCTTTATTAGATGCTGAACCAAACAAAGACAAAAGAAATAATAAAATCAAAATCTCAACCAGATGAAACCATCAGAGTCAGAATAAGAAAAAAAAATAAGCCAGAGTAATCAGTGTATGATTGCTTTACCAGAATAGATATAAAGAGTAATGCTTACCGTAAGCAAAAAAAGAGAGTAAAGAGATTCAAAGCTCTGAATAAATCCATGGCAGACTTATAAAAGATAAGAGAAAAGCATTCTTATCAGAACCACTCAAACAGATTAAAGAGAAGGAAATAAATTTTCTGCTTTCAAGAAAGAAATTGTGATCAAATGCATTACACAATGGACAGTGCCAAGGAAGAACAATTTTCTATAAGATCCAGCAGCATAATATTAGAGACAATGCACACAAACATCCTAATTTCAAACAGAACAAAAACATAAATTAAAATAATAACGCAACTCTTAACATGCCATAAAAATGCACAGAAAATACATATAGAAACCTAAATCATGAGATAATGTACAGTAATAGACCATAACATCAACTTGGGGACCAGTTCCAAGTGAAGAACATGCCTTAAACTATTGAAAATCTGTGGATTAAATAACAAAATAAGAAAAAAAGGCTAATAAATTAATACTTCCATCTAGTTGAAATATATGCAAGCATCAGATTGAAAATAACCAATAAATAATTTATTTATTTTTTAATATGTATCAATAAATAAATATAATCCCAATCTACTATAAAAATGACTCCAATAAAACCAGATCAACGCAGACCCCTGATCAAACACAAACAAACATCAAAACAATAAAACCAATAAGAAATATATGATAAGAATCAGATGGAATCAAAAGGACCATCTCCATTCCAGAAAGAGCTAAGAGACCGATAATCCACCAAACACACCAGAAAACCCTAATTTCCTAAAGCCCTAATTTTATCAATAATATATAAAATTGTAGAAAAAAGAAAAAAATAAAAAATAAAAAACTCACTTATTTGGGCTTCTCTGTGAAGTACAGTATTTCATATTTATCAGTTAAAAATAGCAATAAAAACAAAACAAAAAAAACTCACTAATTTGGGGTTAGGGTTTATCAGCACTAATAACAAGGTTTATTAAAGCCAAAATAACAAGGTTTATTAACGCCAAAAAAAATTAACAGACTGATTTGGGGATTATCAGCGAATTAAACTCTGATTTGGAGTTTATCAGAAAAAATAAATAGCCGAAAAAAATTTTAACTTACTGCTTCAGGTTTATCATCATAATAAACAATAAAAAAATTACAACTCACTGATTCGTGACTTCAATCTCTTCAAGCTCTCACTGATTCGTGGATTCAATCTCTGCAAGCTCTCACTGATTTGTGGCTTCAATCTCTTCAAGCTCTGTGATAATGGCAATGGAGCGAGAGTTGCTGCAGGCGTCTTTTTCTTCTTCGACCTAGGGTTTTCATGGGATTTCTCTTCCTCGAAGGAGGCTCGAAGAGCGACGGATATGGGAAGCTCAAGACTGAGGGAACCTCAAGTAAGCACGGCGAGGGAAAAAGTTAAGAGGGGTGCAAATGGGGGAAAAGTGGAGCGGTTCTTATTTTTACTATCAAACACGCTCAATACACCATGCAGGGGAAAGTGAGATTCTTTCCCCACTTCATACCCCATGTCGACGTTATCCTAAATCTTCTAAATCTATTCTATCCTAAGGGTCGGTTTGCATAACTGTAAATATAGTGTATTTGAAATATATTACTGACGTAATTTATTTATGCATACGGATTATTAGTGTTTGGATAGCATTTAGATGCAACTTGATAAATATATTGCTACTTTTGGGTTATGTCGAGAAAAAATATAAAAAATACATTGTCAAACAGATTTGAAAAATATGGCTATGTTTGGCTAACATGATTAAACTTTGGTTTCAACATGTCATTAGAATAATATAATTAGATAATAATATTTCATTGCGATAAGCTTCATTTTTATTTTATTTTTTTATGAGTCTTTCAAATGTCTCTCTTTATATAATTTCAAATAAATAATAAATTTATATTACCAAAATCAAAATCTTTAAAAAATAGGAAATAGTTTGATTAGTAAACTAGAAGGTTTGCTATTGTAGAAAGTTTTGAAACATTGGAGGATACTAAAGAGGTATCAATTGAAAGTATATCATTTCAATTGAGCTTTTATTAATCTCTTATGAGGATTATGTTGTGTGAATTTTTTTATTATGATTGTGTTGTGTAATTTCTCATCGATTACCAATTATTATTTTTATTATTGTTGTTTTTATATGAGAGGGTTTCAAATGGGGTTACAACCAAATTAGGGACAGAGGGATGTAGAAAATTATTAGTATGATTGAAATAGGAAATTGTCTCTTCGTTCAAATCAATTTAAATTTCTCTTATTAAAAAAATTTGTTTCTATATGAGAGTCAGATGAGGGCTACAACCCAATTTTTGTTTTTATATGAGAGTCAAATCAAAGCTACAACCCAAATGGGAGATAGAGGGATGTAAAAAAAAATTTATTATAATTACAATAGAAAATTGTCCCTCATTAGTTGCACACCTATTCAATCAATATAGATTTCCCTTTTCATATCCCATACTTTTATTTTCTACCTACCTTAATAATTATACAATACAACGTAGACTTGAGAGAGTTTAAGAGCAGGAAATGTTTGGGCAGATAGAGTTTAAGAGAAAGAAGTGTTTGGACAGAGAGACGCACGCGAAAGATTTCTAAAGAATACGCATTAAAGCACGTAATAAATTTTTCACCTCTTACCCCACATAATGTATTTCGTGATGTTAATGGATTTTGTGATGTTTGGGAAAATGTCGTTAATCTTGGATAATCACTTTCCATTTCTTTCCTATTAAAGTGTACTCAAACAGTAGAAATGTCGTATTTTCTTGTAATCTATTGTCACGTAATAGATTTTTAGATACCGAAATGTCCCTTAAATCTTCTAAATTTGTTCAATTTGGGTATTGTTAACTTCCACTTTCCCTTGTCTCGGTCAGCTAATTTACCAAATCGACCTCTCTTTTTGTCTAAGGTCAATTTGATCTGAACATTCTGCCTTTTCAAAATCAATCTCTCTTCAGCCTGCCCAAGGAGTTGTACCCAGCCTTGACATATGATCAAAGTCAAATCTCGAGGGGAAACCTAATGCCCTGATCTATGAGTAAGTTTAGATCCGGATTCCTCTGTTGGTAAGTCAAGATCCAATTCCTCTGTTGAATATAATGATACTGGTCAGTGAATAGCACATCCCAAAGGCTAAGTGAAAGATGCTCACCTCGACAATTAGCCAACCAAAAGCGCTATTCGATACATATGCTAGGTAAGCTCTAGAGACCACAATGTCTCATCTCAGTCCATGTCTTCTCAGTCTCAGTCTCAAGCTCAAGCTCAAGCTCAGTCACAAGCTCAAGTTGTTCAGTCTAACAAACTGTCTATCTGACTCATTTGTTTTCTCAGGATCTCCGGTTTTAAGCTTAATTTTAATGGGAGTTCTCATGGTAACTCAGGATGACAGGATTGGAAGGATGGTTAGGGATTGGAATTGGATTTTAATTTTTACCTATGCATATCCTATTGGTAAAGCTACTACAAATCGTGCTGGAATTCTTGCTCTCTTTCACGGCTTGAATCTTTTCAGAAGTAGGAATTTGGGTATGTGTTGTATGGTTGAGGGAGACTTTTTTAATGTCATTAATAAGGAGCAAAGGGTACCATCACAGCTTAAATCAATATGGTTTCAGATTCTATGGATGATGGAACCCATGACTTTCTCTTTTCATCATGTTTGTAAGAAGGCGAATGCTTTGGCTGATGCTCTTGCTAAGAGTGGTGATGATGTAAACTCTTGATGTAATTTTCGCTTATTAATAAATTCAATAACATTTATCAAAAAAACAAAAATGATTATTTTCTTAGAAAAATATAAGTCATACTAAATTCCTATTCATTAGTTATGGAGTTTTATTGACCCGATTATATTGAAAATAAGGAGAAAAATATACAATAAGACTAATTAGCACTAGCACATGGAGATTACAACTAACCTTTGAATGTTGGATTTTAATTAGGCTGCTAGAGTTAAATAAAGATGCTCAAAGTCAAAAAGTTCGAACTCTGTGTCACACCTCAAACCATCAAATCTGATATTTGAACTATAGGTAATTATGACTACCTTGTGCCAAATGCCTTTATAGTATACAATCCAAAAACATCTATGACTTGAAATAAAAAATTATAAAGAAAAAAAGACGTGGTTTGTCTAAGGCTAAGGCTCCTAAAAAGTCAAAGTAATACACACCTTTAAATAGTGTTGAATGATATTGTTTCAGTACTGGAAATTTTATAATGGCCTTAAATTTATTTTCATCTCTAGTTATAAAATTTAAAGCTTAAAAAATAGAGCAGATTGAGTAGGTATATGAACACTTGATAATCTTGAAAATTGACAGTCGAAAAAATGCATTACAAGATGCACTATTTTCAAGACGTAAAATCTATTTTTTTCTCATGACCACACATCTTGAGGTCAAGATGATCGGTTCGAGGATATTTGGGCATCGAAACAACCTCTTAAAGTGAATTTTGGAGATGCTCCATAATTCGATCGTTTAGGACCGACCTCACCCTTATATAAATTTTTTCCATAAAAAAAATGTTGTCGGATTGATTGGCCACTGGCCTTGCGTAATAATATTCCATTTTGGAGCCCTCGATTACGGATGGGGCAAAATGAACCCCTAGGTCCCTCGGTATCCCCATTGAACACGGTTATTCATGAATATAGGCATTTCTTATCTTTTAAGAATAGGAAATTGATTGTCATGGACGTTTTGGAAATAACCCTGCGCATGAATGGGCCTTATTCATGAATCGCTGGAGCGACCCTAGCAACTCCACTTAGCGTTCATCAATGATTCGAGGGAGTGGAATTATTAACAAATAAACGATCCCTCAGAACGGGTTTTAGCCAATCAGGTTGAAGAACCATTCGTCTCTGTCATTTTTAAGGGAAAACATTTTGTCCGCCCTCGCTGTATACACTATTGCCCAATTTTAGAGTAGGAGCAGTTTTTCATGCCATGCCCAAACTTGGCATTAGGCTTCAAAAGAAATTTCAACCAAGAAACCTAAGAAATGATATAATGATGTGCCTATGAAAATGATTCATCCATCTTAGAATAGAGAAAAAGTGATTAAATCTAAGCCCTAGGTGAATTTGCTAGACCCCAAATCATGTAAATTGCCTCATCCTCGCTAAATAGATAATTTAGAAATTTTGATTTTGAGTTTTGAAAGGCTAAATCTAACTCCCTCATGGACAAGCTACCTCTGCTTACCAAAATTGGAAATATCATTTTTGGAGCTTCTTTTTTAGATTTTTTTCATAGGCTTCGATGGTCAAGAGAATGCGTGTGGCAAATTCAGGACAGATCAAAATATCCCCAAAAATTGGGGAGGATAGATGCTGTAGCAGACCCTCTTTGGGCAGTCGAAATTCTTTTTATTTCATGAAATGACAAACAAGTTTAGCTTACTGGCAAATGTTCATTTTTTCCCCAATGATTTCTCCGATCATGAAAGTTTAAACTTTGAGTAGACTTCCAAAATGTCAGAGTTTTCTTTGAAAAATAATGAGAAATTTAAAGAAGGGAGCATCACAACATAAATAGAAACAAGAGAAAAGAATAGTTTTCAATTAGTTTCCTCCATGATTTGAAAAGCACAAGGACTTTCCTCAAGCCAATAGCAACTTTCAAAATGCCTCTCTGCTGATACTGCAAACAAATAAAGAAAAGGATGGTGCTCGTGTGTAATGGACATTTAGGATATCAAGTGACATACATCTAGGGGTGCCAATGAGCCAACCTGAGCATGGACATGTCCGAGCTTGGCTTGCAGAGTTGGAGGATGAACTTTCAGCATGACTTAAGCTTAAACCATCCATCTTGAGCTTGAGTTGGTTACTTAACAAGCCCATTAAGAAGCCAAGTCGATCCATAGAAAACACATAATCAAGAAAAAAAACAAGTCAAGCCAATTTTTAAACAAGTCAAACATAAGTCTTAACTTCCAGGGTACAAGTGTTTACAAATTTACACGTATAATAAACACTGTTTTAATATATAATAGTATCAAACAAGCTCAAGCCAAAGCTCAACCTGAGCTTCCCTCCGCTTGAGCTTGGCTTGACTAATAAACAAGCTGTCCAGCACGACTTGGCTTGTGTTGTCGAGCTGAAAATATCGTTCACTCTTGGCACATTATGAGCAGAGCTGAGCACACCTGCAAGCTGGCTTGGCTTGTTGACACCTCTAATACACATACCAGACACAGCATACATGCTACACATGCATTTCCAGAAGTTAAAAGCTAACCCAGCTATTCACAGTAGGCATTCATGAGAAAATGCTAAACTTCATCAATTTTGGTTCTAAATAACATGAGACTACATGACTCTTCTTCCCTTGTGTAATGCACATCTTTTCCTCCCTCTAACAGGAAGGTTCCTACAAATAGAACCACTACCTGTCACAACACCACAGATACTTTCCCTCTCTACCAATTTCTCTGGGTAGTCATTTGCCACATTCACCCTCATTCCTTTGTGCTCGCTGCATCTCTTCCTTCCTTTAACAGGAGAACTGAAACATATTGATCCATTACCTAAGGCCACTCCACAAACAACCTCACTTTTTCTCTCATAAGAATTTCTAAACTCAGGTGCCCTACAACAACCCCGCTTTCTCTCTCATAAGAATTTCTAAACTCAGGTACCCTACAAACACCCCAACTTTCTCTCTCAAAAACCCTACTTTCTTTGCAATGAGTACCATTAGGTTTAAATATTATTGTACCATAACTGCCTTCGTCTTCAAGCTTGCTTGCGTTCACCCTCATCCCTTTGTGCTCACTGCATCTCTTCCTTCCCTCAACAGGACACCTGGAACATATTGAACCATCACCTAAGGCCACCCCACAAACAACCCCACTTTCTCTCTCATAAGAATTTTTAAACTCAGGCACCCTACAAACACCCCAACTTTCACTCTCAAAAACACTTGCTATGCCATAAGTACCATTAGGTTTAAAGGTTCTGGTGCCATAACTGCCTTCTTCTTCAAGCTTGCTTGCATTCACCCTCATCCCTTTGTGCTCACTGCATCTCTTCCTTCCCTCAACAGGAGGCCTCGAACATATTGACCCATCACCTAAGGCCACCCCACAAACAACCCCACTTTCCCCCTCCACAGATTTTTTAAACTCAGGTACCCTACAAACACCCCCACTCTCTCTCTCATACCCCCGACTTTCTTTCTCACAAGTATCACTGACTTCAAAGGTTATAGTACCAGAACTGCCTTCGTCCTCGAGCTTGCCTGCATTAATATCTATGCCTATACATTTCTTCGTAATGCCATTCCATTTCAGGTGCCCGAGCTTTCTACTAAGGCAAGCAAGCAGGGCACTTTGGGAATGAGTTCTATCCAATTTTGCAAGAATATCAGCAGGGCGCCGGGCTCCATTTGCACCTTTGTTCCACGCATAGTCAAAGTTTGAGAGAAGTCGTGATTCGGCCAGTCCCGCTTCTCTCTTGGTTGTCATCTGATAGATGTGCAAATGAAAGTATATGAAATAAGCACAAATATATAATGGAAAATTGTTTCATGCGGGCTGGACCGCATTTCTACATATACGGTCCAGAAAGTGTAAAGCATCCTTCTTAAAGATGGATGCAAGTAGGTGTTCTATCTAAAAACAATGGAAACAAACGGTCCAAATGTTTTCTTACTAGAATTATTATTTTTACTCTTTAAAACTTATTTATTTTTTCATACTCGTGATCTCCATGTTAGAGATTACATGCCCTTAAAAATTAAGACTTAAAATCCATCTCAAAAATAGATTTATTAAGAGGCCCACATTTCTACATATGCAGGCTTGGCCGCATGGAAACCAGGTCCATATGTAAAGGTTCAAGAGGTTGTTGGGTTTTCAAGTTCAATCATAACCCACTAGCAAGTTGCATAGTGAGTGCTGGGTTAAGTTAATGACGAAAAAATATGGAAATGTTATTATGTGAAGTTTCAAAAGCTCAGTTAAAAAAGTAATACTATGTAATAGATCTATAATTTTAGATACTACAAGGAACTATAATTAAAAGAATCCAAGTCAGAAGTGCGCCCTCATTTTAACCAATTCAAGATGCGTGTCAAAAAGGGGTGAGTACCAGCGGTGCTCTTTCGTTACACAAAAAACAGGCTAAAGGTCAACACTAAAACTTGGATCAGAGAATAAATATAGCAACATAAGCCCAGAACTACTAGCCTAATGGGAGAAATCAATATTTTGACCAACAAAGAGCACATTTGTATAATCATCAATACAAAAGGTTAAATTCCTACTCTCCCCATGCACCGTTAACATTTATTTGAAATGAGTAGACACATATTTATGTAACATTTAGGAGAAATGAGTAGGATCATAACACATCAGAACCATGAGAGGACCATAACATCTATTAGACCTTGTACCTGTGTTTAGTTATCACTCAAAAGAGCTCAAAAGTTTCAACTTCATGCCTACAAAGCTTACAGCAGGAGTGATAGCAGAGAAGGGGCAGTTATGGAAAGAGATTTCAATAATAATGCTTAGGAGTTAAAAGCATCCAAACACGTTACAAGTTCCTGTAAAACTCACATTATAGAGACTTACTACTTTTATTTTGGCATCCAACTTTTAAACAGAGACCCAAGGGACTGAGTTATCAATCACAATATTTGAGAACTTGATTTCCATATGAACAAGCTTACAAGCACTCTATTGCAGGACAGCTAATGTTTGTGAATGTTCTAAATAGTACAAAATCCCTAAAGCTCCAAATATTATCTCCTCTTGAACAGTAAAGAGGTAAAAAAAAATAGAAAGCAATCTAGTTTTAGCTCAGTTAAGAAGCTTCAAACATGCCAATCTAAGCAATAAAAATCCATAGTTCAGTTATTTAATCATCTTCCTCCAATAACAGAGGATTTATGACCATCGAATTGCTTCCAATATATATACACTTATTGACTTTTTTTTTATTTTTTTATTGGGGTTGGTCAGCAGTAGGGCTCAAACCTAGTACATGGTGCTGCCATTATCAACATTATAAACAATCATCCTAGGTGTTAAAGTTGAATCCTTCACATGGTTCTTTGGACAAATATCAACAGTTCTAACCTTTGAGCTCCGTTAAATAAACCAGGGTCTTACAATTGGAATCAAAGCCAACCGAAAAAATATTTTTGATCAAAATGACCTTCTCAACTAAGTGACATAATGTAGATTGATAAACTCAATCGGGGGAATATTTTCATGTCAGGCATACCTTCACTCATCATGTGAAAACAGAGCCTAAATTCATGATCCATAGTAGTAATATCCAATAGTAAATAAAGATGAAGATTTTCTAATTGAGTTTTGGCTCTCAAGGCAGTGCTACTCCAATGAAAACAACTAAATCTGAAAGTATGAAAAGAAGTTCCTAATCAGATGCATTCAAAAGAATCTTATGCTATAGTCAATGTTAATGACATGAGGCAAGTAATCATTTTCCATGTAAAAAGTTCAAAGTGATACATACCGGAGCCCATCTAAATACAATATAGAAGCCCCTCGAAAAGGCTTCTCTAAATAATCCAGGTCTCTTCTCCAAACATTGATTTGTAGTTGTAACTGGTTCGCTTGGTTTCCCATTATCTGGAAGAACAAATGGATCGACTAGCTCCAAATGAGAACCAGACCGACCATAATGCTGGAGTCTTGTTCGAACATTGTCAGCATGTCCAATGTATGCAACAACTATGGCACTGGGGTCAATCTTGCGAATTGTTCGGCCCAAGCCAGTAGAAATGGGAGCCACCCCAAGTTCATAAATACCAGGACATGAAGAACTCAATGGTAAATTATGAATCCGATACTTCTCAGTTCCTTCCTTGCCCAAGAGGTAATTTCCCCAATCAGATGGGCCAATCAAGATCTGAAAAATGAAGCCAAAAGCAAAGGTTATATAAAAATTATGTGTGTGTGTGTGTATGTACAAAATACGAAATAAAGCGATCATAATAAGCAAACCATGTTAACAAATCATCATGAACAGTTCTTGGAAAATGCAAAATGGTAAATGAGAAATGGTATGTCATAAGGAATTGGGAGCACTCTTTTGTAACGGTGTTTGAAAAATTGCTAATCCAAATAAAAAATTAATGATCCGAACCAGATTCGGTAGGCAACCGGTTCATTCCTAAACTAATTCGGGAATCAATCCAGATTAGAGAGACTCACCCGGTTCTATTAGAGAACTGAGCACTCTTTCAGAGGAATTGGCTAATTCTATCAAGAGAACTAATCGAATCAACCAAAAAAACAAAATTGTTTTTTGAGAGAAACGACCTGGTCAAATTTTTGCCCCCCATCTCTCCTATTTCAGCCATTTTCTCAAATTCGTCCCATTTCGATCATTTTAGACCTATGTTTTAAAACTCGACTAAGTCGACTTGGACTCGGTTGAGTCACGTAGCCTCGGCATGGTGCCAAGGCCAGTTCGGGTTCACAGCCTGGGGCTGAATGCCCGAATAGAGTACTCGGGTGAGTACCTAATAGAATCACCCGAGTACTATTACTGATACGAAAAAAAAATAGGGAGCAGAAATCCACCCCCATTTTTTCCATTTTCATGAGCATAAGAGCCCCAAATCCCCGTTTTAATCCTAAATATCAGATTATGCTAGAAAATCACTAGATATTAGAAGCATTAGATTCAAGAAAAACCATCTCATTTCTCCTCTTTTGTAGTTCGAAGAATTGGGATTCTTTTTCCCGATTCTGAAAACTTCAATTTCTTCGAATCCAATGGTCAATCTTTGATACAAATTGAACCGTTTTATAAAATTTCAATTATTTTATTTTTCATACTTTTGGGATTTTAATTATTTTTTTATTTTCTGGTGCCCTTTGTGGGCTTTGATAGGACTCAGACGATTCCACTCGGATTTGCTGGAGTAACTTGGCCCAAGCAAGGGCCAAGTCTGGAGCCCGAGCCTAGTTTTTTGAAAACTGTTTTGGACTGATCTACAATAGTCTTAAAAAACCTTCTTAGGATAAAAAATTCCATTCTATCGAAATCATGGGATCAAAATTTGTTAGAACATTGCTGCGAGATTTTCTTGCCTTTCCTCTCTACTCTTGACTGTGGTTTCGACCAAAAAAAGAAGTATATGAATAGTTTGATTGAGAAGGCCCAATAAGCCCTCTTTTTGTTAGTTCTTTTATCTGATATTCTTCATTTCCAGTTCATCTTCTTCACGTAGCCTTATCAGCTTACTCCAAACTATATCATGAACAGAGGAAATATGGGGAATCTTTATTCCATTTTTCCAGACGGTGTACCACACAACAATTTATCAATTCATCTTCAAATTCTTTTATTGTGTTCAGCTGGGAACCTACCTCTAGAGACATCCCTTTGATTTTGTTCTACTATCTCATACTCTTTAGTTTCTTTTCTATCCTCAACTAATATTTCATGATATCCGCAATGGTGGATTTCGTTGCATTATTTTGCCCTTAGTTTAAATGATGGGGATATTCTAGGTATTTTTGTCTTTCTCCCTCAATTGCAAAAACCAAAATATTATCAGAAAGTGTCAATGCAGTACTCTCAAATTTGTTGAATTTTATCGTCACTTATTGCTCTAGAACATCATTGTAAAAATTAAAAATAAAACTCCTAATCCTAGAAATTAGAAGCTCCAAATTGAGCCTTTTTTCCCCTTTTTAGTTCTGATGCGCCCTTTTTTATCTCCCAGTATTGATCTATTTTCTCTCAAATTTGAATCATATCTTATTTATATAAAAGATTTTTAAAAAAAGTTCAGGATCAAAACCCAATATTTATAAAATCATTGAAAATACAATTTATCTCAAATAAATTGGGAGGGAATGGGGGATCCTTCTTATAGAATCACCTATTCCCTAACATATTAACCCGAATCTATGAAAGAACGAGGTGACTCTATAAACGTACCAATTCGCAACTCATTGTATCTCTGCTCCTAGCTTCTTTGAGCAGGTAAAAGCGTCTATACGGACAATCTTCCCAGAGAGGGCGAGTCTTGGGTCTGTACTCGCACTAGGGCCCTTATCTCGATGCAGAGCAATTACATTCCTAACTTTCGGTTCCAGCGGCCTCTAAGCATCACCTAGATTTTTGAACCACATACCCCGACCATATGACTATGATGAGGATGCTCCAGATATTGAGGTTCTACGTCCGCCCCTTTCTCATTATTTCCATAGGGAAGTACACTTTAGTGCTAGTTTACTTATTTTGGGTAGCAACAATATATTAGCAAGGTATTTTGCTTCTTGATATGCATTATATTGGGGGATTGTCACACTTACAGGAGATATGTGACGAGTTCATCCAAACCGCACCATCTACGGAAGTGAGCCAACACATGGGATTGCACCTAGAAAAGGGCTTCATGTGCTCTTTCAGGTCTATCGAAGGCTAAAAGCGGAGGTGCATATCGTAAATCAATTTCTGAAGTGGCAAGAATATTTCTACAACATGGGGACACGGGCTGATGAAACCTTATTTGTCCCTTTCAAGGGGTAATGACTTCTTGAATGTTGTTGGCTGGAGCAGTCTGCCTCCTCATGGGCCATGGAGCCGATGAGGGGCTGGGTACACTTGGCCACTTATCTGGCCTTATTTCTCTGCAAGTTTGCCCCGCCCTCCTCCGGGGGAGACCATATTAGAGGAGAATGTCTTTTCACCACCTATGAAAGGGCAGGGGCCAAGATATTTGCCTTGGCTCATTAGTCCTTCGCAGCCTTTATCAAGGGCTAGGAGTTATATCACTCCCAAGTTAAACTAAGCTCAGTTAAAGATGATGAAGGGGAAACAATCATGGACACGATCAGCAAGGTCATTGAGGAGGGAAAGGCCTAGGAGCAATGCAAGACCGCCTTCCTAATCCAATATTTATGTGGACGACTTTCTAATTACTTTACATTAACTTGGTGGGCGACGCTTGGCCACAATCATTGTGGATCATTGGCAAGAGGGTTATTTATCATGGTGCCTCTCATGTTCATCAGCTCTTTGAGAAGGACAATTTCTTCAAAAATTGTTTGTGCTTCAGCATAGGAGGTTTGATCAATGGAGCATTTGAAGACTGACTTGGAGTGTCGTTGGACGGCGCTCGGACCATACAGATACAGATCACGTACCTATTAAGTATTAGAGCACGTGTATTCTCTCTTCGGGCTAGCAATCACAAGAAATTGGAGCCATATTATCCTCATCGATTCGTATGCCAACATAAATTAGAGTAGAATTACACTTACCCTGTGCTCTTTGAGAGGCACAACACTTGGGACAACAACAGTGTACGGGCTGCTTGGGAAACATGTTTCGCCTTTAATGCTCACAATAACTTTGTTGTCCCGAACGACAAAGAAATGCTCCTATCACTTCACAAAACCGATGTACATGCTAGACACCTCTTTAAACCTTCGATAGATCTGAAATAGTTCTCGAAGCCCTTCAAGATGCACAATCCCATGTGTTGGCTCCGTCATAGATGATGCGATTAGAGGGGACAAATTCGTCATACATCTCCCCTAAGAATGACAATCCCCCAATGTTATGCATATCAAGGAGCGAAATGTCTGCTTAACTATAATCAAGGGCTGATGTATTGGTGGCATCACTCCATGTCTCCAAAAAGGTCTTTATAACATTGGAGCAACAATCATATACCATAAAGAACATTGACAGGCAGCTAACAAAGAGGGGAACCTTAATGGCTCCTCAAATTGCTCAAGCACATCCGCAATCCACGAGTAATAGTCCCTCAGGTAACGGTGCTCCCCTTGAAAGCACAATCCATATGTCCGCCATCGAATGCATTCTCTTGACCATAGTAGGTAAAAAGGCACTAGAATCTATTCTCCTATTGAGGTAATCATAAAGGGGTGGACCTAGATCCCAAGTATCCAAAGCATCCCCATCATAAGCACATGGATGCAAGCTATCTCATTGAGAAAGGTAAGTGATGCTTAGAACCCACTGCAACCGAATGTCAAGAGTGAAGGTCCGTAACAGCCATTGCTGGCCCCAGCGTAAGTACCAGCCTGAGACTCTTCCTCTCAGTGAAGGTTGTCTATATACATGGCTTTACCTACACAAATAAGCCAGCGGCCTAGATACAGTCAACGCTAGTAGTGTTTAAGATGATGGGGCACCTACTCTAGCAAACACCCTTACATTTTTATAAGAGACCAAATGTATGAAATGCCAAATAAGTCTTAATTGATAAATTTCGACAATGTCTCATTTACAAATTGGGTGTCATGGCAAAATAAAGGGGCCCTCAATCAAAATAAAAGAACCCGTAGAGGGAAACCATGAACAGAGTCCAAGGGGGCAAACCCACCCAATTATCATCTAGGAACGACCTCCTAAAAAGAAGGAAAGCTCCAAAAAGTCTAAATTACTCAAACAACCAAAGCAACAAAAAAAATCAATGAGGGACAAGAGCCTTACCTTTAAAAAGCATCAAGGAAGTAATGAGGCGCGGCGCCTATCCAAGGGAGTGGACTGTAGAGCTTAGAGAACCCAAGGAAAGGGTGGGCTGTGAATGCCTAGAAAAATAGAATATACGGATTTAGCTGAAACAAGAGGATGAAGAGGAAAAGACTATGAATCCCTTATGAGTGCTAAAACCTAGAGAGAGAAAGTAGATGAAAGCGCTCAGTGGGAGAGTGAAAAGTCAAAAATGAGTAAGAAGCTAAGAATGGTGAAAAGTGAGAGTGAAAACCTCCCTTTATAACCCCTCCAAAATGTCATTTTTTGAGTTTCCATCAAATTTCCACACTTTTGACACACTGCCATCAAGACGCCTTTTACAAAGCAGGCATTAATAAAATGATTAAGTTCAAAAGGGGAAGAAAAGTATGGAATTTTGAAATTTCTTCCCTTGGAACTCCTCCACTAATCAAAAAAGTCCTCTTCAAACCAAAAGCCCGCTCATGAATTTTTTTCAAAAATCCAAGGGCTAAACAATAAATTCAATTTCCCATTAACGGTCTTCTGCATATAAAAGCAGACTTGAAGCCCAAAATAAACAAACCAAGGCTCATTAAAAATCCAATGTGAGTAGAATATCGAGCCTAGTTAAGGACATGTTTCCTGTAAGGATTCCTCAAAATGGCTCAATTGTTCTTAAACTAATTCTGAAGGCCGGTTGAGGACATTTTTCTCAAGAAACCGAATAATATGCATCAATTTCCTATGCAGATTCCGAGGGCCAATTAAGGACATATTTCCCGCATGTCAAGGTAGGTGGTTTGGTCGATCAAGGGCCTTTTAAGGGATATGTCTCTTGATTGTTCCAATATGTATGGGCTGAAGCTTCTTTGGGCTGACTACAATGCCTAAGAACTAAATGTATATATTTAGGCACCATCGTGGATTGTCTTTAAATTTCTAGGACGTCGAGTGGAAGTCTGAGAAGCTGCACCATCTCAAGAATCTCGAATACTTTAATTGGACGCATGAAGAAATCAACGGGGGCCAGCATAGTTAATGCTGCTCCAACGGGTGCAAGAAAGAGAAAGGGAAGCCTTGTGAGGAAGGGAGAGGAGGCCCATCGAAAGGACGAGAGAGAATTCAAGAGGGGAAGGAGAGCGAGAGAGAGCCATGAAGTAGAGAAATTACGGGAAAGGGATAAAGAGAGAGAGAGAGAAAGGAAAGCGGTTAATTGGTTGTGCTACCGCTGGTATGAGGGAGAGAGATGGGCCAAGCAAGGAGAGGAAGAGCGAGGCTGACTGGCAAAGTTACCGCCAGTGCGTGGAAAAGGGGGGGAAGAGAAAGAAGTAAAAGGGAGAAAGAGAGAAGGGGGGACCGGCAATGTGGATGCCACCCTCCTTAAGTTGCCGGCTCCGGAGATTTTGGAGTCGGTTCGGACCATTATTAGGCTCAACATGCTCGGCTGGTCACAAGCTTTCCGACGGGCCCGGGTTTGCATATTTTGGACTTTGGGTCCTCCTTAAGGGATACGAAAGATTGTTCAAGGGAAATCCAAGTTTTTAATTTCTTATTTTGCCCTTGTAATTAAAAACAAAAATCCATGAGTTGGCTTGTTTTGGAGAAGTCTTTTTTTATAAATAGAGAGGTTTCAATGAAAAAATATCAAAATCTCATAGTTTTCTCCCCCTCTAAACTTTGATCCTTTTATTACTGCCTTCTTTTTAAAAAGGGTCTTGATTCCAAAAGGGGAATTATTAGATAGGAGGCTATAAAGGGAGGTTTTCACTCGCTTTTCATCATTCTTATTAATTTTTAACTTTTCACTCTCTAAATGGAGCTTTCATCTCCTTTCTCTCTCTAGTTTTTACCACCCATAAAGGTTCTATATCCTTTTCTTCTTCATCCTCTTACTTCACCTAGGTTTATATATTCTATTTTTCGAAGCATTCACACCCATCATTTGCTTGCATTGTTTAACTTCCACACTCCACTCCCTTCGATAGGCTCCACACCCCATCATTGGTGCTTTTTCAAGATAAGGCTCTCGCTCGGTTGCTCCCCATCAATTTATTTTTGTTGCTTTAGTTATTTGGGGAATTTAGACTTTGGAAGCTTGTCTTCCTTTTTAGGAGGTTATTCAATGCCAAACCCCCCTCCCCCCCCCCCCCCCCCCAACTCATTACCTCCATAAAAGAAATCCAGTCCCAATTCACTTACTATGACCTGCGCATTTGATAATCGACACATAGGCTGCATTTTCATGGGGAGCTCAACTTCTTGCGGGGGTAGTATTCATGAACTGCAAATGTGTTTAAGCAGTTTGAGAAGCCAATAAGGTTCACCTCTTTGTCAGCTGCTAGTATGGGTTGTAACCTAGGGTTTTAGAGGGGTCAGCCACCACAAAAGATGATTTGGAAAGAAAAATCTCAAGAGATCCCAGCACTGCAGCAACCAAAGTCGATGAATCAACTAATCACATGCCTCCACCTCAAACCTACGATTAACCTTCACTTAATGAGAGAAAAGGCCAATAGTATTATTTCGACAAGGAATGGACCCCTATGATCCACCAAATGCTACTAGATGAGGGGATGATGTCCCTCCCAGAGCCAGGGAAGCTTCAACGAGTAGGCTTTAGCAACCCAACTACTGCAACTACCACAAGATGCTTGGCTATGTAGTGGAGAATTGCTTCCCGAATAAAGACATCAGCCAAAGCTTGATCAAGAAGGGGTTGATCCACCTAGATAACAACAGAATCAGCAAATCCTACCTCGTGGTGGAGGATCATCCTCCACGGATGGAGTCTTCTCACTCCTCTTGGAGAACGGCTCAATTCAGTCTCAGACTCCCAGAACGCCTAGACACTCAATTCAAGGTCACAAACATCTCTGGCACCTCTATCACCAACAAAGGGCAGAAGCTTTAGAGCTTTGTAGAGTGTTTGCAGCAGTCTTGCGACAGCCGGTGCTCAACTGATGTGTGGTTTTCATAGAGCCCTCTGCCTCCATCTAGCCCTCCCCTAACACCTAAGAAGGCAACCCCTCCTCCAAATCCAAAAACAAAGCCCCAGAAGGAGCACAACTCGTTCCATCCCCTTCCCTCCCCTATCACAGATGAACCCCAAGAGACTTGATATGTGATACAAGTCAATGAGATATATGGGGGCATCTCGAGGCCAATGACCTAAAAGAGACAAACACTGGCTGGGGGATAAAACCTAGCCCAGAAAAAGAGGGAAATCGAGCCCAAGGAAAAAGCCGAAGCCCAGTCCAAAGACGAGGATCTGGTCAGCAGACTTGGCAGGAGACGGCAATCACCCAATAACCCAAACCAAGCAACAATCCAAAGGCGAGGATCTGGTCAGCAGACTTGGCACTGTGAGAGGACAGGGTACCAAGCTGCCAGTAGGTGCATGGTGACCAATGGCTAAGCCACCTGTTGGCCACCGATTGGGGTATGAGGACCGGTGATCTAGCCGCTAATTTGGGTGTGTGGACCAGCGGTGTAGCCGTAGGTCAGTGTGTGTATCACCGATGTAGCCACGGGTCAATGTGTGTGGATAGGTGATCCAATACATTGCAGCAATCGCCCTGGCTCCTCCCCATTTTATGATAGGAAAAGTATAGAATGAGACCATTTACCTTTGATACAAGGTGGTCACAATTAATCTTGACCATTGGATGTGAAATTGGGTGGCTGCATTTATTCCATTGACCAAGCTCAAACTTCAAAAAAAAATTTCTCGAACTTTGTGACACATCCAAGCTATCAAATTTCGCATCGAATGGTTGTAAGTAATTGTGACCACCTTGTTTCAAAGATAAATGGTCTCATTGTAGACAATCCCTTTATGATATATTATTTTCATTTTTTTGAGCAAGTCAACAATTTCAAAAAAATATTTCCACTTTTTTTGGGACCGATTACGAAGCCAAAGAATTGGTCTGATCCACCAGGATTAGCGACCCAGTCAGTCCAGCTGATGACCAATCTGGCAACCCAATCCAGGTTTTAAAACACCACTCTACATCAATTCCAAATAACTTGCAAAATTTCATGAACCTTCGACTGACGCCTCATAAATGGTGATGAATGACATTTTCGCTATCATTTTGGTCTTAAGCAGTCACAAGATGGCATTTGTTAAGGAAAAATCTATTCTTTCTAATAGTGATTGGCAAAATCACATTGATAGTTTCTGAGCACACAAATCACAGTATTCCAGAATGACACCCCGAGGAATTCCAATCCAATGATCTCATCAGATAAGATACAAAAGTAGAGAAGGAGGGAGATAGAGAGAGAGCAGCAAAACCCATGAAATTCCTTTAAAATCAAGAAAAGCACCCCAACTCTTCCAACACAGATATTCAACAACATCATTCCAAAAATAACTAAAAAAAGGGACAGAAAATCTCTCAGATCAAAGAAGAGCGAACAACAAATTCAAAATTGACTTCCTGAAAAAAATACAATGAATTAAATTGAATAAACCATTGATTCTAAAGGAATAGTGACAAACCTCCCATTTAGAGAAGAGATGATCAAGTTTGGTGCGACTCTGTTCCTCTCTTCGGATTCGATGTGTTTCAGAACCAAACACCATTGCACCAATTTACTCATCCAAGGCCTCAAAAACATAAAACAAAAAGGAAAAAAAAAATATTCCTGAGATAAAATGGAAATTCATATAGTTCCTGGAAAAAAAGGGTAAAAATAAGGGAAAACAAAGGGTTTCAGGAGCCTGTAAGCCCCAAACTAACTTGATGGGGGGTGTTGAGTTCCGGAGGGTTTTAGAAGGAAAAGTGAATCCTACCATTTAGAAGGGAAAGTGATTCCTACCAATAATTTACTTACCTGTGTACGATACAAAAAGCCTGTCTACCTTCCGTTTTCAAACTAGACGGTGTAGATGAACCTTGGTTCCTTCAAGCCGGATGACGACGTTACTTTCCTTCACTCTCTCTCTCAAAAAGCTCCTTCGCCAATGGTCCAAGACTCCTAACTCTTCGAGTGCTTTTTCTTTCCTTATTGAGAAGCGTTACTTTCCTCAAAATAAGTGATTTTCATGTTTTTCATAAGCTTTCTCCATTCTTTTCAAAAATTGGACGGCTCCAATGCAGTTTTGGGATTTTTTTTTTAATGCGAAAGTCATTGTTAAAAATTTATTTTTTTTATATTTTTAATTATATATATATATATATATATTGATTGCTGGATTTAGGAGATTACATCCCATTCTTTTACACCGAAGTAAGAGTTTTTTTTTTTTGACATGGTTGAAGGTACAACAGATTACATCCCTAAAATTTAGGATCTAAGACATTTCGAGGAGTTAGTTGCTTAAGGGGTAGATAGATATCATACTCTATTAAATCTTTTGGCTCTTCTTTTTTAAGAAATGATAATAAAACCCTGCAAGATGACCTCTTAGACTTATTTGAGTTTAGAGTAGTGTTTAAAGAACTGCTGATGGGTTCGATAGTACATCTTATATTTGTGTCAGATTGTTGATCCAGGTCTTTACCAAGGTTTAAAAAATAGATCAGTGACCAAGATTAGTCACCTCAAAACCTATATTAGATCGATGGGTCAGCGATCCGGATATGCTAGTTTTAATCGAACTTTTTTTCAAAAAACACTATAATTTATCAAAAAATCTAGATTTTTAGGTTTATAAAAGAAATAGTGGCAATCATATTATGGTTTTTCATTATTGTGTCAAAAATATGTAAATACTGATAACCTGTCTCATATTAAGTGTTTGTTGTCTATTAAATTCATTTTATAATTAAAATAAAGTTTAAAATGTAACACAATAATAAAATTGATCTCTCTAACTCAATTTATTTATTTTATTATTGTATTAACTTAGGAGCTTTAATTTTCAAAAAATCTATATAGAACAAATTTAATGCTGAGGTTGTTAGTTGAGACATAGAGAGAGAGATAATTTTATTGGAATTATTTGTTTGTACTACTTTGTAGAGAAAGAGAAAATTTTAGTAGAAACAATTTTATTGTATTTATTAATAAAACAAATTTTATAAAGAGATAGAAGTTCTTGGTAGAGAGAGACACCAATGTTTTAAGGGGGGTAGGGAGGAGAAAGAGAGAGAAATATGCATAATAAATTTGACTTAAAAGAATGAGAGAAAATAACGAGAGAAAAAAAAGAGACAACAGCCAAATGCAATTATAAAAGAATAGAGAGAGAGAGAGAGTGAGAGTGGGAGAGAGAGATTGTTTAGTAAAGACAATCGTGATAAAGAGAGGGGACCTTAATGCATGGGAAGGAAGACTTGGAGGGAGGGTGACAGAGAGAGAGAGAGATTAATGTATTATTATAGAAACAACCCTTGAAACCCTACCTCCATTGATTTCCCCCGCTGTGGTGGCATCTATGCTCGAAGAGGAAGACCCAAAAATTAGGATTCAAGTTCTTCATTTGGTTTTCGAAGCGTTTACCGCCATGATTTTGGCTTATATGAACTTGAGCACGATTGAAAATGCTTCAGTAAGATGGATGAGTTCAATTGTAGGCCCAATACCTTCACTTACCATATTTATATTACTCTTCTTGATGGATTCTTTAGAGCGGATGAAAGTTGGACTTATGTGATCTAGCCGGTATATATATATATATATATATATATATATATTTTTATTTTTTTTTGATTTCTTTTCTAGTTTAGAATACTCACAAGTAGTCCATTACAATAAAATTTACTTGAAAAAAAATAAAGAAAACAAATCTAGGATCTAAAACTTGATGCCACTTAAAATATTTATTTTAATAACCAAAAAATATCACAATGATGTGATTAGGAGTGATTAGGAATAACAAAAGACACAAGAAATAATTATGGCAAGAAAAAAGAAAGAAAGTGTTGGAGATTACCTCAACCGAGTTTATTACACCCGATACCAAGTCACCACTTTCCGATGGTACAAGATCAACGATCAACCTTCAATCTCAAGCATGGGAAAGCAATTTATGCCAAAACCCTCCATTGGAACCATAACTTCTTTCAATCAAATTTTCAAATTTAGGTAGAACCCCTTGATAACTTAGTTGAGAGAGATAGCATCTCCTTACTACACCATTAACGCTTTAGGTCATATCACAACAAGATCGGATAGAGATATCCAAACAACCATGAGTGGGGTGTGTCCTTTTTGCTTACCATAAGAGAGAGATAGATAGTTGCTATAAGAGAGAGAAAGTTTCTATGTTGAGTGAGAGTTACGAGTCATTCATTTCCACAGATAGGCCATCAAGATCATATGAAAAGTGTTACAACATTTATCTCCTATTTTCTAAACTATTACCCATCAATTAAAATAAATGGATAAATATTTTATAATATTGTGCTTTTCATGCACAAGTCTCTTCATACATCCCTTGTTATGTTTTAAACCTACCTCAAAAATTCAATATTTCCAAAACACTTAATATCTTGGGCTTCAAGCCAAATAACTTAATCACAATAAAATGAAAATATCCAAAAGATGGGATGTGCCACCCATTATGCCATCTCATGGGCCCCACCAACTTGCCATGGCAGGCCCATGTGCACAAATTATCGAATATTGAGTCACATTTAAAACGTAGGATATGTAGCTTTAAATAATAGAGAATAAGACGGCTATCAAGAAGAGAGAAGATCACAAATTTTATAAATACATGTCTAACTTCTCGTTTGGGTACTTGGAAATACGTTTGCTTGAGGGATACATATTCTCGGATATACATATGCCAGATAAAACTCCTAGGAAATATGATAATCTTCTTTGATAGTATCTAAATGCAACTCAGAATATGCCTTTATTTGGCTCTCCAAGGAGATAAATTTTATTATAATTTCATTTCGTTCAAGTTATATAATATAAGGTTACAAGGTCCATCTTTGTAATTCTTCATTGGAAAATTTTTTTCTCTTTCTAAATAAATCAATGTAATGTTTTTATTTTCCTTTTTCGTGAAAATCGATCTAGAATTTCTTAATTTATTTGGACAAGTTAATTAAATAGTATCATGCGAAAAGGAATATTTTGGTTTTATTGGTATTTTGGTTATTTTATTTTATCGAAAATATATTTTCAATATTATTTCTAGGTGCGCTCCATTGCGATGATAGCATTACCAAATTTAATATTTATATAATTTGTAAAAAAAATTAAAAATAAAATAATCTGACAGATCTAAGATCAAATGGTTAATGGCTCACTTGATCTAAATTCTTTGGATAGGGAAGTATATATCTTCTATCTTGAGGGGAAGTATATAAACATTTTCCTAGTGATAGATTTTCACAAAAGGAAAAGGTTTATATACTTTCCCTACTGTATAGAAGATATATACTTCTCCCAACTATCAGTCCAATTATAGATCAAGTGAGTCACTCACTCTTTAGACTATTTTATTTTAAATTATTGTCTACAAATTATATGAATATAAAATTTAGAACCCACCATCATCTCAATAGGCTCACCTAAAAAAATATTAAAAAATATTTTTGATAAAATAAAATGACCAAAATACCCCAAAAACTTGAAGGCTATTTTATTTTAAATTTTTTGTGCAAATTATATGAATATGAAATTTAGAACGTATCATCATCTCAATGAAAATTTAGAACGTATCATCATCTCAAAGAGGCGCACTTAAAAAATATTTTTGATAAAATAATATATCAAAATACCCCTAAAATTTGTAAGGGTATTAGTTATTTTATTTGATTAGAAATATTCTTTTTATATTTTTTACATGCATGAGTTCAAGAGAGGAGTTGTTGCTCAAAATATCTCAAACTATTGTCAAAAAAAGCTTTTTTAAAAAAAAAATTGTTTCGTACGACAAGGATCGCATTTCTACCTTTACGGTCCCCGAAGTATAAAGCATCCATCTTAAAGATGGATGCAAATAGGTGGTTTATCTAAAAACAATTTAAATTAACTGTTCAAGTTTTTTTTTAATGAAATTATTATAGTTAATTTTTAAAATTTATTTATTTAGTTTTATATTCATGATCTCCAGAGATTAATTATCTTTAAAAATTAGGTAAAAAACCATCTCTAAAATAGATTTTTAAGAGGTGATTCATGCCTCTCATTCCAAAATAAAATATCATGACAATGTGATTGGGGCTATCTCAACCATCCATTCAGGACGGTTGGATGGGGGAAGTATGTAAATTTTACACAGCAGAGAGAAGTCGAGAAAGTTTGCCCACAAAAAAGCCCCGTTCAAAGACAAGGCAAAGACAACTGGTTTTAGGGTTTTCTTTCTCATTGCTGGGGTTCGTTGTGGGGGCGAAGAAGCCTCTCTCTAGCAAATAGCAACAATGGTCTGTATCTTTGCTCTACTTTTAGTAGTCATTTTTTTGCTGAAACTCTTATGAAGCTATCTCATTTTGTATTTCTCTGCTGGTTCAGTTGATCCCGAAGAAGAACCGCAACGAGGTGTACAAGTACCTCTTTCAAGGTCCTCCCTTTCTTTCTACTTCCTTCTCTCTCTACTGCATGATTTGTAACTACTCTTTCTTATATAAAAGAAGAAGGTTCTCCTTTCTAAAGCTTTGTTTCTCATGCTGGTATTTTGTTTGCGATCACAGAGGGGGTGCTCCATGCCAAGAAAGATTACAATCTGGAAAAGCACCCTAACATCGATGTTCCAAATCTTCATGTGATAAAGCTCATGCAGAGCTTCAAATCAAAGGAATATGTTCGTGAGACATTTGCATGGATGCATTAATATTGGTACCTCACGAACGATGGGATCGAATATCTTCGCGCTTATGGGACTTTTAATGGTCGTATATTAGTTGTTCATGTTCTTCTGATGGAGGTTTTGGATGAGTATCTTTTTGGCGAATGAAAATCTTCATGCAATTTGGTATCTGTTGCTACATGCTAACGGTTCATTTTCATTAGCATGTGCTCATTAATGAGAGTGTAGTGTGGATTCATAGCTTGATTGATATAAGAAAGTCCTTCTTTGGAAGGAAACATATGGGTTAATTGTGGGTTTTTATAGGACAACGCTGATCTTTGTTAGTTGTTGGCATGCATGGAATAGTATATAGTGGATGTTTAGATTTAGACCCATGTGATCCTATCACTGATTACTCTTGTATGTTTCTTATTTCTTGTTCTTGAGCTTGCAAATAAAATGCACACGTCAATTCCACTTTTTCACTTTTAGATGTAATCAGACGGCTTAGTTGGTATTCCTTGGTAGTACTTTTTATTATATACATGATGATTGCTAGCCGATTTGAGACTCTTTGTTTCTATATTTTTGTAGCTATATTTAATGATGAATATTTGTATGGTTCTTTAGACTTCCGTTCTATTTCATATTTGATCCAACCATAGTCGCTAGAACATTGTACTCACCTCTTTTAGTAGCATTATCAACGTTAGTCACTAGATAGCATCTTGCATCTTCTTCCACAGTGGCACCTAGACATTCTCCATAACTAGGCCCAATGTATCACGTAATTCATTTAAATGTTAGCTTATTGGGACAAATAATCGTAATAATTTTTTACACTAAAATTACATGATCAAATCTGGGGGTACGCAAATTTAATTAAATATAAAAATAGATATTCAGATAATCATAATAATTTTTTACACTAAAATTACATGATCAAATCTGGATGTACGCCTTAATTGGATTGTTTAAGGTTGCAACCTTAGGGAAATGACTCCCTAAATTAATTACTTCACGGCATCACACTCCAATCCCAACCCTCACACAATCTTCCGCACCCAGAGCTATTCGCGTATATTGGATATTCATCCTACTAAATAAATCGTGTCTCCTTTTAAATCTTTATAAAATATACAACATTGATTTTATGAAGATTTAATAAATATAGAACAACGATTTTACCAAGAAAAAACATTCGCCATTCCTACATAAACCAGATATGCGCAAATTGCAACTAGAATTTACAAAATATATACAATAAGGCCATTTGCTTTTGATAAAATTATACATTATAATAATAGAACAAATCTTTTGATACAAAGCTCACATTATTAACCATTAAACTGGGAATAATGCAAAGTTCACATTATTAACCATTAACTGGGAATGTATCATCGATTGGGTACAAAGTTCAACTGTAGATTTCATATCCAAAAAAGTGACTCCTTGGAACAAAAAGTGAATACCATATGACATAGAGTCCCTTTACTTTTATGCCTCGAGTTACACAAGGGCCCAAATTTAAATTTTTGAAGTGCTGAAGTAAGAGTCAGAAGACAAAATATATCATATCTCTCCATTATTCTAATCCATGAATTCATGTCCAAATATAATATCGATCAATTTCATTCACAGATTTTATAAAAAGAATCACTTGTAATATGCACACAGCAGATGCAGCAATTCTTGTGCAATAACATTACCTCGCCACCAAATATATAAAGTTCAATAAGCAAAAATACGAACTTCCAATATGACAAGGAAATATACATAGAGAGCCATATATGTGCATGACACTGAAATCCTATAATAAAGTAAATTTGGAATATACCACCAACACCTGCATTTTCTTGAGATGGAATAACTATTGAACATAATGTCTTCACACGAAGATTAAAAATTGTTGGATTAAGATTAGATATACATCCAAATCAAACATTGCATCAAGCCAGCAACTTCCTCTCCCCAGTGTGTTCACATAAAATTAAAACAATTCCTGTTCAAATGGATATTGAAAAAGCAGAATAACCTCCCACCCCAAGAAAATCATGCATCAAGATGGAGCAACTGATACGAACAAATGGATGAGTAGATACTGCCATGCATAAGAGTGTAACTAGGACAAGATCAGACAAGAAGCAAATAAAGACCAGATGTCAGAGATACAAAAGACTGGATATGCATATGAACTTCAAAAGACTGTAACAATCACATCTTCCAAAACTCTAGCGGATACATTACTCCATTTACATATAATACTCGCACAAAAACCATCGAAGTACGTAACTACAAAATGCTTTGCAAAACAAATAACAAAAACATAAAACAAAGAGGCAAGGTAGGTAACACTAAGCAAAGATGATTGTTCTTACACGACTATCACGAGCCATTTTGCATCATTGTACGAACCAAAGATAAATATCCACATCATTACACCACTTAAAAAACAAACAACCAAATTAAATTTAGATTTTTATTTATTTTTTATTTTTTTGGTGAATAGTAATTAAACTACAAATTCTATTGCCTACCAAAACCAAAAGATATAAATCCCTATGGCCACAGCACAGATCTCGGAACTTGCATAACTCCAGAACCAATGCAATCAAAATAGCTAGTTCTTGTACTCGTCATGTTTAACAATGATACAATAAAAATGATATTACTGATAAATTAATTCAACACAGATCAGAAGAAATCCGGAAATTCAGATATTCAACCAAATTAAACATTGCATCAAGCTAGCAATTTCCCCTCCCCAGTGTGTTCACATAAAATTAAAACAACTCCCGTTCAAATGGATCTTGAGAAAGCAGAATAACCTCTCACCTCAAGAAGATCATGCATCAAGATGGAGCAACTGATATGAACAAATGGATGGGTAGATACTGCCATGCATAAGACTGTAATTAGGATAAGATCAGACAAGAAGCAAATAAAGGATGGATGTCAGAGATACAAAAGACTGGATATGCAACTGAACTTCAAAAGACTGCTACAATTACGTCTTCCAAACCTCTAGCGGATACATTACTCCATTCACAGATAATACTCGCATAAAAACCATTGAAGGACATAACTACAAAATGTTTTGAAACACAAATAACAAAAGCATAAAACAAAGAGGCAAGGTAGGTAACACTAAGCATGGATGATTGTTTTTACACGACTATCACGAGCCCTTCTGCATTATTGCATGAACCAAAGACATATCTATATCTTAACACCACCCAAAAAACAAACAACCAAATTAAATTTCGATTTTTTTTTTTTACTTCTTTAGGTGAATAATTAAACTGCCTACCAAAACCGCAAGTAATAAATCCCTATGGCCACAACACAGATCTCGGAACTAGCATAACCCCAAAACCAATCCAATCAAAATTCCAATCAAAATAGCTAGTTCATGTACTCGTCATGTTTAGCAATGATACAATAAAAAAGATATTATTAATGAAATAATTCAACATAAAACAAAAGAAATCCAGAAATTCAGATCAAACATTGCAACAAGCCAACAACTTCCCCTTCCCAATGTGTACACATAAAATTAAAACAACCCCCTTTCAAATAGATCCAGAGAAAGCATAATAACCTCCCAACCCAAAAAAAGCACGCATCTAGATGGAGCAACGACTGTGAACAAATGGATGGGAAGATACTGCCTTAAAGAGTGTAACTAGGACAAGATCAGGAAAGAAGCAAATAAAGACCAAATGTCAGGAATACAAAAGACTGATATGCAACTGAACTTCAAAAGACTGCTACAATCACATCTTCCAAACCTCTAGCGGATACATTACTCCATTCACAAATAACATTGATACAAAAACCATTGAAGGACATAACTGCAAAAATACAAATAATAAAAGCATAAAACAAAGAGGCAAGGTAGGTAACACTAAGCATGGATGCATCATTGCATGAACCATTCTACACTATTGCACGAACCAAATATGTATATCTACATCATAACACGACTTAAAAAACAAACAACAAAATTAAATTTAGATTTTTGTTTTTACTTAAAAAACAAACAACAAAATTAAATTTAGATTTTTGTTTTTACTGCTTTGGGTGAATAATAATTAAATTGCGAATTCCACAGCTTACCAAAACTACAAGAAATCCAATCAAAATAGCCAGATCTTGAAACTTGCTTAACTCCATAACCAATCCAATCAAAATAGCTAGTTCCTGTACTCGTCAGATTTAGTAATGATACAATAAAAATGATATTACTGATGAAATAATGAACACAGAACATAAGAAATCTAGAAATTCAGATATTCATCCAAATCAAACATTGTATCAAGCTAGCAACTTTCGCTCCCCAGAGTGTTCACACAAAATTAAAACAACCCCCATTCAAATGGATCATGAGAAAGCATAATAACTTCCCACCCCAAGAAGAGCATGCATCAAGAGAGCAACTGATGCATACAAATGGATGGGCAAATACTGCAATGCATAAGAATATAACTAGGACATGATCATGCAAGAAGCAAATAAAGACCAGATGTCAGGGATACAAAAGACTAGATATGCAGCTGAATTTCAAAAGACCGCTACCATCACATTTTCCAAACCTCTAGCGAATACATTATTCCATTCATAGATAACACTAGCACAAAAACCATCGAAGGACATAATTAGAAAATGCTTTGAAACACAAATAAAAAAAGAATAAAACAAAGATGCAAGGTAAAGGTAGGTCCAAGCATGGATGATTATTCTTACATGACTATCACGAGCCATTTTGCATCGTTGCACGAACCAAAGATATATATCCACATCATAACAACACTTAAAAAACAAACCAAATTAAATTTAGATTTTTTTTTCTTTTTTACTTCTTTGGGTGAATAATAATTAAACTGCGTATTTTATTGCTTACCAAAACCACAAGAAATAAATCCCTACGGCTACAGCACAGATCTCGAAACTTGTATAACTCCAAAACCAATACAATCAAAATAGTTAGTTCATGTACTTGTCATGTTTAGCAATGATACAATAAAAAAGATATTACTGA